TTTAGGTTGTTTCCAACTCCTTGCTATTGTAAACAAAGCCGCGATCTTATGTGTACTTTAAGAATCACATGGGAATCTTATTAAATTATAGGTTCTGATTTAGTATTTCTGGTGGTCACATACATTCCTCACAGGGAGGTCAAACTAGAATGAAAGCTTTAAGCTCTCAGATGTGACTTTTCTTTCTGCTTAGATTATTTGAGGAACTCTATGAAGACCACGGGGATACCTTGTCCCTTCAGTATGGTGGCTCTCAACTTGTTCATCGTGTGAAAACCTACAGAAAGATAGCGCCATGGACCCAGCACTCAAAGGACATCATGCAGACCCTGTCTAGATACTACAGCAATGCTTTTTCAGGTAATTCTGGAGTAAGAGGCATTTATAAGTCTTCCCCAATGTGTATTTTTCTTCTCATACACATGCTTTCTCCAGTCATCTGGCTAGGTAAAATAAAAATTTAATCTTAATGCTTGATAAGTGTTATTTAAATAAATGAATGAGTAAACTTAATATTTAAAGTAGGGTGTGTTTGCCAAAATTAAGATAATCTGATTCCTCTACGTCCATCTCCTTGTTTCTTCCTTATTTCTGCTTCTAGGACATAGATAAATATATTCAAGGATATTCTACCCTTTTTAAAAAATGAATAAGATTTATGGTTTTGATGGTTGCTTAAAAATGAGTACTATTGATTTTTATTATGCCAGCTAGAAATCATAGTAAGATGAGAATTAACTAGTACTGTTTCTTTATTTTCTGGCTTACAAACTGCTTTCCAGAGTGGTTATACTATTTTATAATCCCATCAACAGAGTATGAGAGTTCCAGTCTCTCCATATCCTCTCCAACATTTATTGCTTCCTGTTCTATTAAACTTTGCCACTGCTTCTGGGGTGAGATGGTATCTCATGGTCATTTTGATATGCATTTCTCTTATTGACAGTGATTTGGAGTATTTCTTCCTGTGTCTCTTGACAATCTGAATGTGTTCCTCCGTGAAGTCTTTCCATGTCTCTTGCCCATTTTGTAATTGTGCTGTCATTCTTTTTCTTGTGGAGGCCCTGTAGGATTCTGTAAACATTTGGTATGAGACCTTTGTAATGGGGAAGGTGGTTCCCATCACTAGGAAGATTCTGTTACAGTTCTGTTGGCTTGTACTGATTAATTCCTTTATTCCAGGCAGTTTCTTGTGACTTCTTCTTTAGGTCCTCAGGACTCGAGAATTCTGCTGTTCACTACTAGCCTCTCTCTAGGAGGCTTACTGGGCAGGACCCAGACCACACTAGCTCCTCTGTACTAGTCTCGTAACAACTTCTTTCTCCAAAATAAGTAACAAGAAGAATGACTATCAAATAAATTTGATAGCAAAGCAGAGTTATATATGATGGGGAAAGTTTCACTTGACATGATGTACTATGAAGTGGCTACAATATTTACATCTTGGTGTTAATCTCTTTGTGTAATCCCTCCTCTTTGAGTGTAGATGCAACTTGTAATTTGGTTCTAACCAACAGAATATTACCAAAGGTAAGAGGATGTTGGTAGGATAGTAAAATAGTAAAATCATTCTGAAAGGCACTTTGGTGTTTCATCAAAAAGCTGAACATAGAAATACCATATGATTCAGCTATTCCCCTTCCAGGAATATACCACAAGGAAATTAAAACAGAGACATAAATGGAGATTTACACACCAATGATGGTTGCAGCGTTATTCACAATCTCAGGCATATGTAAACAGCTCAAATGTCCAGCCAAGTGGATTGAGAAATTGTGATACATTTACATGATGGAATACTACACAGCACTCAGGAGCAGTGATTTTAAAAAATACTGCATAACTTAAGGGAGACTGGAGAGCATTACACTGAGTGAACTAACTTAGTTTCATAAGGACATAGTGCTTAGTACCATTATTGTAAAAACAGAAGATTAACTACTAAAATGTTTATGGATATGCAGATGGGGAAGGGATGGGAACAAAGGGATGAGGATGAATGGGGGGAAGTCATAGGGTTTCACAATTTGATGGGTGCAGAGAGGGGGCTAAAGGAAATGGAAAAGTTCTAATGGGGATTTGGAAGGGCAGGGATAGGCATGGTGATTGATTTTATAATGAATGGAGATGATTGTATGAAAAACAATGTGAGTGAAAGATAGTGTGAAACACAATGTATATGAATTTTATATGCAAACCAATGTAAAATTTAAAAAAACCCCAACAACCCACAAAACAACAGGTTTAAGGCATTGAACACCAATGATTGACAACCAGAGGAGTTACGAGATGACATCAAGGATATCCATTAAGAGGACAAAAGGTCATTATAAAGAGAGAGGAGAAAGAAAAACCAAAAATGGATTCTGTGAAGAAGTCTAAGAAGAGACAATGAAAATAGCAATAGAGCATTGAAAAGCCAAGACAAATGGGAAATATACTGAAATTAAAAGTGTCAGGTTTTATTGAGAGATGCTAAGGGCAAAATCAAAAGACAAATTGCTCCGGGGAAGGCTGCTGTCAGGGACCTCTCAAAAGTGCTGAAGAGCAACTATGTCACTCTGGAGACTAAGATATTCCTGATTTAAGCCATAGTCTTCACAGTTACTTGTTATGCATCAGAGATCTGAACAGTGAACAAAGATGACAGAAGAGGAATTGATGCCTTTGAGCTGTGGTGCTGGAGAAGAGTATTGAACATCCCAAGGAATGCCAAGAGAGCAAACAGGTTTGTCCTGGAGAGGATGTAACCAGGCTGCTCCTTGGAGGCAAGGATTTTGAAGCTTTGGGCATGTAGCCAGGAGGGACCACTCCCTGGAGAAGGACACCATGCTTGGAAAGGCACAGGAGAGGAAGACCCTGGATGAGATGGATGACTCAGTAACTGGGGTAATGGAGAGAGGTTTGTTGGAAACAGTGAGACTGACTCAAAATAGAGCAGATTTCAGAGCTGTTGTACAAAGAGTCTCAGGTGATTCAAAGGCACATGGCAACAGCAACATCTTGTTGACATTACTAATCCTCCACTTCACAAAGCATGTTATCCCATTCTGATAATATTGGTACATGTTGCAAGGAGGGACCAGTCCTTGGAGAGAGATGTCATGCTTGGGGAGGGTGGAGGAATGGCGCAGAAGAGGAAGACCCTTGGTGAGATGGATTGATTCCATCACTGGGGTGATGGGAAATGGTGTGTCGGAGAGAGTGAGATTAGCAAGGGATAGAGCAGGGGTTAGGGCTATTGTACATAGGGTCACAATGAGTTTCAAGTGACTCGATGGCAGGTAATAACAACAGCAAAATTATAAATCTGAAGAAGATGTAACTATTCCTCTTTATGCCTGACTGGTATTTGGAACTTATGAAAAAATTATGTTTGTGAAAAAGTTATTGCTGTTAACTGTCATCAAAACAAAAATTAAGAGCTAGGAAAATAGACTTTAAAATTCAGTCAAGAGGTATAATATAAAATTCTATATTTCTAATGTAAAAATTTAAATTACTTCTGTCAGCATTTATTATATCTATTGCAGGAGAGAGAGTAATATTCTTATCTGATTCATTCACTTTTCACACAAAAGCAGGACAGTGAAAAAAGAAGACAGAAGAATGAGTTTGAAATATGAGGTTGACAGAAAATATTCAGCATCCTAAAAGCTGCCAGAAGTCAGTTTTAAAGGAAATACAACCAGAAAACCAAATACTTCTTAGAGGAGTGAGGGTAGTGAAACTTTGGTTCCCTTCCTTAGGCTTGTTATCCGGAAAGGTAATTGCTAGAAAAAGACTTTATCACTGCTAGAGTGAGCTATGATGAGGAAAACTCACAATGAGATGGACTGATTCAGTCAATACCCAAAGCTTTTGACTCACATATAGCAACATTTGTGAAGAGGACACAGGAATAGGCAACAGATTTTTCTGTTAACTGTATAATCCCTCAGTTAGAGATAACTCAACAGCACCTAACAGTAACAATAAGCAGATGTAATATTTGTTGCAAGTAATTATTATTAATAGTCACAGATGCTGAAACTTGTATTTTGGTTCAGTTTATAAATTATAAAATATATAAATATTATAATTTATAAGTGATAAAATTTTTGGATTAAGTGGTGTCCTCACTTAGGTTTGCTTCCTTGAGGGGAGAGGTAAGGGTGGAGTTTTAAGGCAGATGCTATAAAGACATATCCCTGTACTTGTGGTTGTGTATGTCACCACGTCTACAAAGAGTTGAGAATTGTTGTTATCAGAAGAAGAATCCCGGGATTCAAGATGGCGGCGGAGGCAGAGACAGCGTGGTGAGCTGCGGGAGCAGCGAACCACTTAAAGCAGGGCCATTATGGCCTTCCACAGACTTTGGCTTATTGATAATTGAACACTTAAACAGTTGATGACTGGCCCTCAGTGAAGAT